CCTGGGAGGTGATTTGAGTGCCGGGATTGTACTATATGGTTTTCAATATATGTTTAGTCATGCATTTCATTTGCATGTACAATATTTATTTAACCTTAACAGAAAAAAAAACAATTCCATAGCACTAATAGAAGCTTTTTCATGATATGGAAGTTGGAGCTGCTGAATTTGCTTTATACTAGAATAAAATGGCTTTATTAAAAGCATCCATAGTAAATGTCTAACATGTAATTTTTGTCTATAACAGGTATGTTCAAAAATTCACCTATGTTACCGATATATAACTGCTGTATTTTAATCAAATTTTGTCATCAATGTAAAACTTTACCTTCAAATTATTGGTTGGATAGTGACTGAATTGAGTCAATTGAAATGTGTATCCATGTTATCAACAAGTTTTATCCACCATAACTTCACTCAGTTTAGCATCTAGTTTTAAAATTAATTTTCATTTTCCTCCTCATTTTCAGCATTTTCAATCATTTCCTTGTTCTTTACAGATTCATTCACATTCAAATCAACGTTGCTAAGATATATAAGATTTCTGACATGCCAGGTTATTTTGTTTTGTTGGCTGTCATGAAAATGTCACCCTCTAGTGGGTTGAATTTGTATTGGTGTGAGAAGCGTTTGAAATTATTGCTTTCCCGTTTGTCCGGCACGGGCAACTATTCGGTCGGGCTGGTGAAAAGTTACTAGCCTGTGGTCATGTCGATTTTTTTTAAATAATAAATAAAATATTACTTTTTACAAAATTCACAAAATTTCTACAGATGTATGATTGTTGTCAAAATTATGTACCTAGAGGTCTGATGTGACTGGTTTGACACATGCATCATGTAAAACAGGTATAAACAACAACAACCATGAATAATGCGTGATTTAGCAAACTCTCATACTACCCGGTATGTGTGATTTCAGTGAACTCTTGCACTATGCGTGATTTCAATGAACTCTCGCACTATGTGTGATTTCAATGAACTCTCACACTATGCGTGAGTTCATTGAACTCTCACACTATGCGGGAGTTCTATTTGACCCAAACTTTTCAGAGCAGGACTATGAATCAGATTTTTCTTACTTGAATGAAAGTCACTGCAGTGACACGGATTGAATGAAAAATAGTGAAACGATTAATGGTAAATCAAATATTGAAAACATAAACCGGGCTTGTAAATTTTTAGACAAATTACTGGTGTGAGCACCCTCTAGTGATGAAACAAATTTTCTCATTCATTTTCTCATTTCTTTTCTATAATTGATACTAATAACAAAAATTTGTTCTCATTATTCAAGTTGTACAAGAGATACGGGAAAGTTAGAATTACAAATATGAAGTTTCAAAAACACCAAGTTACCAAAATGACCATCGTACCCATAGTTTAGAAACAACACCCACAAATTTGTACTTAAAAATTAACCTTTTCACCAGACTTTTTCTCTGCAACATTTTCTAATATTCTTCAATATTTCTGGGGATGCACTCTAATTTTGAAGCCAACAAATTTGAGTCAATTTTCTGTTTTTACTCAAAAAATTACCCGAACCTTGATTTACAGGCAACATGAAGTCTTGTTGTTTAATGCTCTCATTTAGTAACTCAAACTTTTATCAACTTGATGTTTTCATGACCTCAAATAATTCACCATCTTGTTCTGCATATTTTGGAGTATTGTATAACACATAGTATTTAATACTGCTTTAATTGTATTTCATTTTCATTTTTCATGCATCCATACTGTGTGCGTCACCACAACCCACGACTGATCCACCATCACCATAGGGTCTCATCATGTGTTCTATATGGTTATTTTATTATGGCGTGCTCACCGCATTCTCACCAACGCTTTTGTGGATGCTTTTGTTGCGAGGACTTGTTGGATTTGGGATTGGAGGGGTGCCTCAGTCGTAAGTCAAACAATAAGTACATTTTTACTTATATCATATTCATATCTGACATTTTTCTTTCTGAAAACTGGTGCATTGTTGCTTGCAATTTTAATGAATTCTGTTTCATTTTGTTTCTTGCAGTGTAACTTTATACGCTGAGTTTCTTCCATCGACTGCAAGAGCTAGATGTGTTGTTTTTATTGAGGTAAGCAGTTTTAATAAATAGCAAACTTCATGCACTGACATAGAAAATCATCTAGTGTGTTTTACACATAGAATTACTAAATTTATTTTTAAGGTGATGCAAATATTGCTTGATTATTCAGTCATGATTATAACCACACAAAACATGTCAAGCTTGTTATAAATAAAATTCAACTTTTATCATCAACATATATTTTCAGTCACTTCGGCAGACACCCTGTACCAAGCAATAATCGCCATGTTACTGACCAATCAGAAGGTCTAATTCTACCAACTGCGTTTTAAATTGTTTGAATATGTGATTTTAACAATGTTGAAAATGCTGCAATTACGAGAGAATATGAGGTTATTATGAGGATACCTCAAAGTATGAACGAAGACAGTACAGCAAGAGTATTGACCAACACGCAGCTGAGGTCGATGCAACAGCGTACTGTCTGAGTGCGTACTTTGAGGTATCCTTATTATTATACATCTTTGCCTTCCAAAGATACATCATGATGGGAATGCCGAAATCCAAAAAGTTTAGAACAGAATGAGCGAACTTCTTTGTGTGGAGTGCGGTCACACCCTGGTGGCAGTCATGTTTGTTTTTATTATTAAAGGACGCTTACGCACGTAATCGTTCCATATTTAGAATTCGCATTTCCTAATATGGTAGGATGAAAATACCCCGTAATATGTAAAATTACGACACACTGTAACTTATGGTGTTACGATGACAGATGTATAATAATAGTGTTTATAATGAGACTAAAGATGTTTGTATCATGACGTCTATTCACTTCACCTTCCTATTTCAGTGTTCCAATATATAAACTTATACCTATGTTATTTATTACAGGTATTCTGGGCAATTGGGACATGTTTTGAAGTGGCACTGGCACTGGTTGTCATGCCGACCTTGGGATGGAGATGGCTGCTGGCATTCTCTGCTATTCCTGTTCTAATATTCGCTGTCTCCTGCTGGGTATCTATCAATTTCAATCATTAACCAATTCTCTTTTTCTAAATTATAAGCCATTCTTAGTTTGAAAAGAATTAAAATGAACAGAGAAAATAATTTCATTTTTTTTTTTTTTTTTACATGTGTGTCATTTGATGTCTTTAGGTGGACCTCACCATATGTAATGAGTAGTCTGGGACTCAACCCCTGGAATGTTCTAATTTTTCCCTCCAAAATTTTGACATTTTTCATATTTTTAGGTATTTTTCTAAGAATGTTTTGTTAATTTTGTGCCGTATGGATATCATATCCCATTGGGTACAGGGCTTTATCAAGTTAAAAAAAAATATAGAAAATTACACTGTTTATTTTCTGAAAGGTGACAATTAAAAGTTGACGTTGTCGTTCAAAGGGTTAAGATAAAGGACTTTTAGTCACATTTTGCACATACAACTTTGTTTTTCTTACCTAATTATCAACCTGTTCAGCCACTTCACAAATGAGGAGAAATGAACAAACATGAAATCTATCAGATTAATGTCAGAAATTGAAATACACATCTTACTTTATCACCTTTACTCTCTACTGGAGCATGAAGCACCAATGTAACTTCTCCAGCCTTCATGATCATGAGCAAACCAGTGGATCTCCTCCACAACAAACACTTTATATTATGCAATATGATTTAATTTATGTGCGTGCTGACATACTTTTAATTGATGGCCATTTCATCAGAATCATTCATGGTTTAAAAGTAGTCTTAAACATTGGTGGCGAAAGTGACATAATTTATTGTAGCAAATATGATTGAATTTTGGTAAAGAGTTTTGTTATTCGCGACAGGTGAAGACTTAGCTAAAGCCTATGGTAGTGCTGAATTTTATATTTAATCCAGATGTTCAATTTAAACATCTCTGTTTGTTTACAGTGGTTACCAGAAAGTGCCCGTTACCAGGTGGCATGTGGGAAACAAGAAGCGGCTTTTGCTACCTTAAAAAGAATAGCATTAGAGAATAATAAACCAATGCCACTTGGTAAGCTTGTGATCAGAGATAAAACAGTAAGTTATCACCATGGTTTCATTATACTATATCTGCTAGAGGGTGACTTGTATACAATTCAAAAAGTTTATCAAAAATGGCCTGCAATGCTAGTTTTCTCGTATATGTGACACCACACATATCAAAAACAGACAATCCCTTGCACGGCACCAGTTGCCCACATTTGACAAATTCACGAAGCATTTCACTCCATTTTCATTCTGAAGCTGTACAAATTGTATAATTAATAAGCAAGAAAAGTGTGTGGAATGTGACATTCATTTTGGCCATAGAGGGCGCACTTTAATTTGAAAGTTTGATTGATTTTGAATGCACAAAGTCAACATTGCTAACATTGTTCTATTTTACAATGAGTTGCATAATCTTATGACAGTGCCATCCGATGTATTTAATTATTCACTTTTGTGATTTTTTTTTCACTTTCTCAGGAAAAACGAGGAAAATTCAGTGATTTATTTGTACCTCAACTAAGAATGACAACTATAGTATTGATGTTTATCTGGTAAGTTTTGCTGAAATAAGGTCTTCTTTAAATTATCTTAAAGTTGGCTTCCTAATTTTTGCGAACTTGTGAAGTACCCTCATCAGGTCATTATATATACCCCATCTAATGGACAGATTGTAAAGCAAGCTCCTTGAAGGGGAACTGCTCAATCCCTTGAATTTCACCTAGTGCTCATGGGTAATTAACTTCGTCTCTGTCCACTAAGTAAATTAATGCTTATTATGTTCGCTTACTCAAACTGTGATTGACAGGCATTTTGCAAACATTAGCCACCATTTTAAACTTATTTTTATTTGTCGCGGCACATTTCAACCGAAAACAACAACATTTATTCATCAAAAGCCAAACCAGATGACTGTAATCGCTAGCGTACATATTCATACCCCCGTAGAAATGTATTTGGAATCACAGCTTGATCTCTAAACATCGTAAATGGCACATTTCTCTGAGCTTCCGCCACGATGTAAGCGGCTTGGTTCGGATTAGCATACTAATTGCGGTCTTGCCCCTATTTATAGTATCGGTTCCCCTTTAAATTAAGCTACATTTGTAAACAATTGACACTGAGTTAAAGGGCTTTGTTTTGTCCTTGAAGGTCTGTTACATTTAGCAGTCAGTTAGCGTACATGTAATAATAAAATAAATTTTATCAATTTACCAATATTGACTATGAAACTAAATAAAAAGACAAGTTGAAAAACTGTTTTTTCAGATTCTTACAAATTAGAAATAAAATATAAAACTTTCACAGTCAAATGATCTGTTGGTGCAACACTATGCCAACAACCTCTAATAAATTTTGGCCAAATTCATCATTTTTGTGTGCAAAAATCCCTTGCATATGAACACCTAATTACAAGAAGAACATAGAACTCTTTCCTGGGGTTTTTGAAACTGAAATCTTCATCCAACTCAAGAGCCAATCAGTGAGAACCTTACAACTAGATGATGGCTTTGGTTACAAGATGGCTGCCCCCATATACTAAATATGATAGATTAATCAAATTTATTTTATAATCACCTAGGCCAGTTGACTGTGCATTGTAGTTTCATCTATTACAGGGATTAGACACTCTAGTAATCTCAAAATGAAATGCACAGGAAAGTGGGGGGGTGAATATTTATTTTTAATAAACTTATTTTTTTTAGCTAAAATAGCATCATTTTTTGTTTTTATCTTGTTCTGGGAATGATGTTTCCACATTTTTCACTTTTGCCAAATGGGAATACAACTTCAAGGTGGAATAATTCTTGATTTGTAGAATATTTAATGATGATGTCGGCATCTATCATTTTATTACAGGTTTGCCAATGCATTCTCTTATTATGGTATTGTGTTGATGACCACAGAATTATTCCAGTCTGGTAGCTCTTGTCCAGGTAATTAACATATCACTCAATCATAGACTGGATTGACCCTATGGTCTATAAATATGTGCTCACAGAAAATCCAACGTACAATATTCCCAATCTAAAGGAATTCCAGGTCACAGGATGCACTTCTACTGTAATGAATCACTAACCAAAAAGACAGCTGCATCAAGTTGTGTCACAAATTTTCAAATGTGATTACCAGTATTGATTTTTTGAAGAAAAAAAGAATGTTTAAAATGTTTTTTGTAAAAAGATAAATGTAAACTTTAACTTTGTATATTCATAAGAAAATGTTTTAGAACAGTCAATACCGTACAAATCTGGTAATGGTAAAACAGATATTGAAAGAGTTTTTCTTTCATGATGATAACAGATGAAATCTACCACTGCAATAAACTACAAATTGTTTCTATGGCAATTACTTAGTGGTAAGTTGATATGAAAAGTAACAAAAGATTGTCTTTTGACAAAAATGTAGCTTTCTGAAGAAATGTGACGCTTTAGAGAGATTCTGGAGCCAGCAACAAATTGTGACGCATCCACCCAGGCATGTTATCGAACAAATACTGTAACTGATTAATGACTCATGGTCTTGTTTACTTTTGCGTTGACAGCTACGAATGCTGCTAATACAGCTGGGTCACCAGAGATATGTTACACCGACTGTAGAGGCTTGTCTACCAAAGACTATGTAGATTTACTATGGACCTCAATTGCTGAATTCCCAGGTATGTAAAAACTTTCTTTCTTTCACCATAGAGGGTGTAATTCTTCCACTACTGTTGAATACTTTATTTTCGCTTGGAATTTATTTTCGCTATTTTCGCTGAAGGGATGTTTCCGTGAAAATAAAATCCAGCGAATATACTTTTTTTCCTATACTTCACATTAAACTCATCAAAAATCAGTGAAAATAAATTCCACACAAAACGCCCAAAAAGCCTTTTCAGTGAAAATTAATTCCAGCGAAAATAAAGTATTCCACAG